TATTTCTGAATTTATCATTAATAATAGAAACTATTTGACAAAGAAAGTAGGTTGCTGTAATGTATGTGAGAATTCACCTTTCAAAATCAACTTTGAGAAAACTCAGACTGGAGAGAAATTTTATGAACATAATAAAAATATGAAAGCTCTCAGTTATAATGAAAATCTTCCCAAGCATTCAAAGTTTCAAACTTTGGAGCAAGCTTTTGAATGTAATAAAATTGGAAAAGCCTTTAATGATAAGGCTGGCTGTGTTAAACATAAGAATCCTCACACAGGAGAAAAATCCTGTAAAGATGATGACTTTAGGAAAAAATGTGCTAAGACAATTCTCTTTGATCACAGGAGAACTGGCACAGGGGAGAAACATCCTCATCTTAATCAATATGGGAAATCCTTTGAGAAGTCAACTCTGGAGGAATATAATAAATGTAACATGGGTGTGAAACATTATGAATTAAATTCAAGTGGAAATAATTTCAACAGAAAGGCACACCTCACTGAACCTCAGACAACTGTCACAGAAGAGAATCCAGTGGTATGTAGTGACAGAACACAGACTTGGGTTAAATCCTCTGAATATCATGAAAATAAGAAATCCTACCAGATGTCAGTTCACAAAGGTCACCAGAGAAGTCACTTGAAGATAAAACCCTATAAATGTAATGAATGTGGGAAGTCCTTCTGTCAGAAAGGACATCTCATTCAACATCAGAGAACTCACACAGGAGAGAAACCATTTGAATGTAGTGAATGTGGAAAAACTTTCTCCCAGAAGTCACACCTCAGTACTCATCAGAGAATTCACACAGCAGAAAAACCCTATAAATGTAATGAATGTGGAAAAACATTTGTCCAGAAGTCAACCCTCAGGGGACATCAAAGAATTCATACAGGAGAGAAACCCTATAAATGTAGTGAATGTGGGAAAACTTTTGTTCAGAAGTCTACTCTCAGAGATCATCACAGAATTCACACAGGGGAGAAATCCTTTCAGTGCAATGAATGTGGAAAAACATTTGGCCAGAAGTCAAACCTCAGAATACATCAGAGAACTCACACTGGGGAGAAAACTTACCAATGTAACGAATGTGAAAAATCCTTCTGGCGAAAAGACCATCTTATTCAACATCAGAAGACTCACACAGGAGAGAAGCCATTCAAATGTAACGAATGTGGGAAAACTTTTGCCCGGACATCAACCCTCAGAGTGCATCAAAGAATTCACACTGGGGAGAAACCATTTAAATGTAATGAATGTGGGAAAAAGTTTGTCCGGAAAGCAATCCTTAGTGATCATCAGAGAATTCACACAGGGGAGAAACCCTTTCAGTGTAGTAAATGTGGAAAAACTTTTGGCCAGAAATCGAATCTCAGAATACATCAAAGAACTCACAGTAGGGAGAAATCTTATGAATGCAATGAATATGGGAAATTACATAAGAAGTCAACCCTAAGCATATACCAGAAAATTCAGGGAGAGGGGAATCCCTATTGATGTCATAACTGGAAAATCCTTTTGACAAAAAGATTATCCCTTTTGACATCAGAGATACACAGGAAACCAATTGAGGGTAGTGAATGTAAGAAGACAGTCCGAAAAGTAAACCCTCACAGTGAATCAGAGAATTCACGTAGTAGAGAAACCATATGAAGACGAATGCAGGAAGAATTGTGTACAAAAGGCAGCCTTCAGAGGCTTTTTTTGTTTCTTTTCAGAGTACTATGGATAGACCTGAATGAAGTCATACCCTATCAGATAGTTCTCACACATCGCACAGGCTGGTAATCTGTTCACCAGTGCCAATTTCACTTGACTCCAGGCACATAACTTTTCAAACTCCCCAGTCTCCTTTCCATCCAGGTGGGTCTTTGTGACCAGCCACCAGGATGTGGATGTCCGTGATGTATATCACATCCCAGTCTGAAAAATAAGAGACTTCCCTAACTTAACTACCAGGGCCCTATCACAACAAAATGGGTATGATTTCTAGGACAAACTTGGTGCTGTGCTTTACTGCAGCACAGTACAAGGTAAAGAAGTCAGTGTGCCTGGGTGAGTATATGCAGCAGAATTCTCCTTTTCTGCATCTTTCCCAGTTGAACATTATGTAAGTAAAAATTACGTTTGTACAGTCATCCCCCCTTATCTGCATTTTCACTTTATGCAACTTCTATTACCCATGGTCAACTGCACTTTGAAGTTATTAAATTGATCCAGAAATAAGCAATTTCTGCATTTTAAATTGCACACAATTCTGAGTAGTGTGATGAAGTCTCACGCCCTCCTGCTCTCCCGTGAGGGTTGCTGAATCATCCCTGAGTCTAGTGTATCCACAATGTGTACACTATCTGCCAGTGAGTCACTTACTTGGCATTTTAGTTATCAGATCACCTGGCAGGCCGTGGCAGTGCTTGTATTCCAGTAACCCTTGTTTTACTAAATAATGACCCCAAATTGCAAGAGCAGTTCTACTGTCATGTTGTTATAATTATTCTACTTTATTATTAGTTATTAATCTCTTGCTGTGCCTAATTTATAAATTAAACTATCATAGGCTTGTATATATAGGAAAACATAGTATATACAGGGTTCAGTACTATGCTGTGAGAAGCCCAAGCTGTGGTGAGGCCCCAGGCAGGTGCTCTGGTCAACAGCCCAAGCTAAACACCCAGCCAACACCAGAATCTGCAGCCAGCCATGTGAGTGAGCCTTTGCAGATGTCTAGCCTCATCAAGCCCTGCAGATGTCTCCGGCACAGATAGAGCCTACAGATGTCTTCCCATGAAACCACACAGCCAAGTTCAGGTGGAAAATGTGAAAAATGTTTCTACCAAGTCACTGAGTTTCTGGGTGGCTTGTTTTGCAGTAACCAAGAACCAGAACGGTCTCTTCTGCACTCTCCAGTGGCCCCCCTATATTCAAACACTCCACTCAGCAAGCTTCATCACCCAACACCTGGACCTAATCACTGCAGGGTCTCTCACTACAGAATCTTTTCTCAGGGTTGCAGATGTGCTAGTCTGCTAAGATGCTCACCTCTTTATCTTCCCTTAGTGATGGGCTGCTCTGGTTGACGTCAGCTTTCCCTTCCTCCCGGAATTCCTCCCTCATCACCTCCCTCTCCCTAACAGCTCCAGCTCCTTGAGGTCAGGCCTGTCTCTTCCACCGTGGTGATGACCTGCATATGTTGGGTGCTGCATAAATTCTGTTTCAAATCTAGGATCCAACCTGCACAGTTAAGGGATTTACCTTGGGAATCTTCCAAATCTTCTTGGTACAGTGGACTACTTTTATTATAAAATCCAAATAATTTAACAGTTGCCACTTTTGTCATTTTATGTCAAAAAGATGAAGTTTGGCTAGGTGTGGTGGTTCATGCCTGGAATTCCAGCACTTTGGGAGGCTGAGGCCGGCGGATCGCCTGAGGTTGAGAGTTCAACACGAGCCTGGCCAGCATGGTAAAACCCTGTTTCTACTAAAAATACAAAAATTAGCCAGGCATAGTGGTGGGTACCTGTAATCCCAGCTGCTTGAGGAACTGAGACAGGAGAATTGCTTGAACCCAGGAGGCAGAGGTTGCAGTGAGCTGAAATCACACCATTGCACTCCAACCTGGGCAACAGAGAGACTACGTCTAAATAAATAAGTAAATAAGTTAGTTTTAGCAACTACTAGGAAAGGGCACATAAGAGTCCAGGATGGCACATGATCCAATTCAGATGAACGTAAATGGAGCCTGCTGGAGGCTTTGTGGGGTGAGACCCCACAAACTGGCCACCTAGTTTTCTTCCTGGAAGATTAGGGAGTCTGTTCACTAAATGCTTGTAACTATCCTTTCTATTTTTTTCACTGGGAACATGAGACTTTTGAAAAAACACAGGTGATGAAACTATGTGTTCTTTTAGCCAATACATGTGGGAAGTTTTTCAGCTTTTTAAAACAATTCAGGTGCTTACAGGTAGGTTGGTGTAAATGGCCACAGACTCTCACTTTGGGTCCTCTGTCTCCCACCTTCCAAGGCCAGCACACCATTCCTGAAGCCCAGCCTCATACCCTGGAGTTTAACCTTCATCCCCTGAGGACCCAAAGACAAACAGCCATGGTAATGCACTAGTGCATTGTCTCACCTCAAAGGCAAGGTTGCCATGGGGCCCTCACCAGCAGTGGGGGAAGATGCTCCAGAAACTGGCCCTGATACCTTTGTCCTGTAACCTGACTGGGCTGCAGCCACCTTGAGTGAGATAAACGTGATCTCTAAGGCTCTTTTTCAGTATTGAAATTACATATATGTCTGATCACTTTAAAGAAAAATGTAAATTTTTTCTTTATTAAAATAATTTTCTTTTGTCCCTGTAGATCGTTTGCCATATTTTGCTTCAATCAAGGGTTGGGTCAGACACAGCCACTGGGGAGCTGCCATGAGATCTGCACATTTGTTACTAGAAGAGTCAGAAGGCCACCCACTGTTCCCGTTAGTGAACCAGTGGCACAGCAGGTATGGCTTAGAGCCCAGTTTCATGCTTGATTACTGATACAGTCTGGCTGTGTCCCACCCAAATCTCATCTTGAATTTTAGCTCCCACAATTCCCACACGTTGTGGAAGGCACCTGATGGGAGGTGATTGAATCATGGGGGCAGGTCTTTCCCCGGCTGTTCTCATGACAGTGCATAAGTCTCACAAGATCTGATGGTTTTTTAAGGGGAAGCCCCTTGCACTTGGCTATCATTTTCTTCTCTTTTCTGCTGCCATGTGAGACGTGCCTTTCACTTTCCACCATGATTGTGAGGCCTCCCCGGCCACGTGGAACCGAGAGTCCATTAAACCTCTTGCTTTTGTAAACTGGCCAGTCTTGTTGGGTATGTCTTTATCAGCAGTGTGAAAACAAATACAACTACACAAAAAGCGCATCAAAAAGAGAAGGAAATCCCAGAGCGCGAGCCCCGTGCGGCCCAGCCCTAGAGCGGACCCGCGACCCCCCAACCACCCCCGCCTGACCGCTGCGGAGGACCTTCCTGGTGGGGGAGATCAAGTCGCTGGACCAGTAGGATTTCTCGAGGGCCAAGGCGGCAGCCAGCCTGGCGTGGGTGCTGCTGGCCCCGTTGGGGGCGCAGAGCACATACCCCCGGAGCTGAGGGAGCCCTTCTATACTGACCAGTATGCGCAGGAGCACATGAAGCCCCTAGTGACATGGCTGTTGCTCTCAGCTGAGCTCTACTGCAGGGCCTGGCGCCAGGCACTGCCACAGCTTGAAACACCCCCCAACCTGCTCGGGGTGCTGGTGAGGAGGGGCACGGTGCCTGCATTGCCGGAGCGGCAGGTGCGCAAGGCCGACCTGAGGAACCAGCGCATTCTCATGGGAGCCCATCTAGCTATCATTGATGCCCTCATGGCTGCCTTTGCCTTCGAGTGGACAAAGACCCTGCCAGGTCCCTTGGCCCTCACCAGCTTGGAGCACAAGCTGCTTTTCTGGGTAGACACGACTGTCCGGCGGCTGCAGGAGAAGACAGAGCAGGAAGCGGCCCAGAGAGCCTCTCCAGCAGCCCCTGCAGACGGGGCGGCCCTGGCGCAGCCCTCCATCCGATACTGCAAGGACCGGGTGGTGGCACGGCGTGCCCCCTGCTTCCCAACGGTGACCAGCCTCCAGGACCTGGCCAGTGGGGCTGCACTGGCCGCCACCATCCACTGCTATTGTCCCCAGCTGCTTCGACTTGAGGTGTGCCTGAAGGACCCCATATCTGTGGCGGACAGCCTGTACAACCTCCAGCTGGTACAGGACTTCCGCGCCTCCCGCCTTCCTCGTGGCTGACCCCTGTCCCTCGAGGACTTGCTCTACGTCCCCCGCCGCTCAAGGTCAACTTGGTGCTGCTGCTGGCTAAGTTGTTCGTGTGTTTTGAGGTGCTCAAGCCTGACTTCATGCAAGTGAAGGGCTTGCCGAATGGTCACGCCGCCTTCCCCCGGGGCACGGAGGCCCCCCCTCCCCCCGACCCCCCGCTCAGAACAACAGCGGCAGCAGTTCTCCTGTCTTCAACTTCCACCACCCACTTCTGTCACCTGGCGGCCCCCAGTCCCCACTTCGAGGATCCACAGGGTCCCTGAAGTCTTCCTCGTCCATGTCCCATAGGGAGGCCCTGGGCAAGGCCTGGAACCAGCAACTCAGCGACGTGGATGTCGTCATGGGAGACCTTGTGCTGCCTCCGCTCTGTGAGCTCGGAAAGCCTGGACCCCCCCATGTCCCGCGCCGGCCAGGACCCCTGCCCAGCCCCCCGCGGAGGCTGGCGACCTGCCCACCATCGAGGAGGCTCTGCAGATCATCCACAGTGCCGAGCCCCGGCTGCTCCCAGACGGGGCAGCTGACGGCAGCTTCTACCTCCACTCCCCTGAGGGGCCCTCCAAGCCATCCCTGGCCTCCCCGTGCCTGCCTGAGGGGACCCCTAAACCACTGTCCGGCAAGCACTGGTGTACATGCCACACCCCGAGACCCCCTCAAAACCATCTCCCACTCTGGTGGGGGAGGCATCGAAACCGCCGGCCCCATCCGAGGGGTCCCCAAACGCAGCGGCTTCGTCCCCAGCGGCCACCAACTCCGAGGTGAAAATGACCAGCTTTGCAGAACGCAAGAGACAGCTGGTGAAGGCAGAGGCTGAGGCTAGAGCAGGGTCCCCCACGTGCACTCCGGCCCCGCTGGAGGCCCTGAGTTCAGAGATGAGTGAGTTTGGCGCCCGGCTGGAGGAGAAACGCAGAGCCATTGAGGCTCAGAAGCGACGGATTGAGGCCATCTTCGCCAAGCACCGCCAGCGGCTGGGCAAAAGCGCCTTCCTGCAGGTGCAGCCAAGAGAGGCTTCCGGGGAGGCGGAGGCCGAGGCCGACCCAGGCCCAGTCCCTGGTGGGAAGCGGCCGGCGGGCGAAGGCCAGGGTGAGCCAACTTTGCGGCCCAAGGCAGTGACCTTCTCACCAGACTTGGGTCCGCTGCCCCCGAGTGGTTGGGGGAATACAATCGAGCGGTCAGCAAGCTGAGTGCTGCTTTGAGCTCTCTGCAGCGGGACATGCAGAGGCTCACGGACCAGCAGGAGCGGCTCCGGGCCCCGCCCCCTGCTGCATGGATCATTCCTGGCCCCACAAGGACGGGGCCCAAAGCCTTGTCCGCCAGCCCCACCCGGCAGGTCCCGGGCACCCGGCGCAGCCCTGGCCCGGGGCCCAGCCAGTCACCCCGAAGCCTGAAACACAGCCGGCCGGCGGAGCTGCGGCTGGCGCCCCTAACCAGGGTGCTCACACCGCCCCACGACGTACAAAGCCTCCCCAACCTGCGCAAGTTCTCCCCGAGCCAGGTGCCCGTGCAGACGCGCTCCTCCATCCTCCTGGCAGAGGGGACAGCCCGGAGGAGCCAGCTGCCCGGGCCGGCCTCACTGAGATCCCGCTGGGCAGCCTGGCAGAGCCCGCTGCCGAGGAAGAGGGAGACGGGAGCCCCCCTGGTGCTGAGGATTCTTTGGAAGAGGAGGCGTCTTCAGAGGTGGAGCCCCGAGCGGGGCTGGGGTTCTTCTATAGGGGTGAAGACAAGCCTGAGGATGAGATGGCGCAAAAAGCCAGCACGGGGCCTGCTGGAGCGGCAGCAGCGGCGGGGAGAGGAGGTGCGGCGGCGCAAGCAGTGGCAGGAGGCGGAGAAGGAACAGCGGAGGGAGGGGGGCCCTGGCTCAGCCCCAGCCCTGTCCGCAGTCCCTGCAGCCTCCATGGCCACCCCGGCCCCTGCTGCCCGGGCTCCAGCCGAGGAGGAGGTGGGTCCCTGGCGGGGGGACGAGCGCCAGCCCAGCTGAAGCTGATGGACGACCGTGATAAGGTGTTGCGGTCCCGGGCTGCGGGGTCCTAGGGCCGGGGTTGGGGCGGGCGGAAGGCGCCCCGGCCTCGCTCAGGTTGCTATGACGACTTGGCCCTGGCGCGAAGCCCAGCACGTGGCCTGCTGGGCTCTCGGCTGAGCAAAATCTATTCCCAGTCCACCCTGTCACTGTCCACTGTGGCCAATGAGGCCCCCAATAACTTCGGGGTCAAGAGGCCCACGTCTCGGGCTCCCTCCCCGTCGGGCCTCATGCCCCCAAGCCGCCTGCCTGGGAGCCGTGAACGGGACTGGGAGCATGGCAGCAACGCCTCCTCCCAGCGTCGGTGCCCGAGTACAGAGGTCCACGGCTGTACAGGGAGCCTGGCGCCAAGTCCACCAAGTTCATCATCCGCAACGCTCTGTCACACTGCTGCCCGGCGGGCAAGGTGAACGAACCGCAGAAGAACCGCATTCTGGAGGAAACTGAGAAAAGCAAGGCCAACCACTTCCCGATTCTCTTTTGCGACTCGAGCTGCCAGTTCGGGGCGCTCTACACGACGGAGGAGCTGTCGCAGCTGGTGGGCTACGGGCCCCGGACCATCACACCCGCCAAGGCGGAAGGCATCTACAAGCACAACTCGGACCGCGAGCACTTCTCCCGGATCCCCGCCAAGGCTGTGTCCATGAGCGTTGATGCCTTCACCATCCAGGGACACCTCTGGCACGGCAAGAAACCCACCACTCCCAAGAAGGGCGGCAGCACCCCCAAATAGCCCCACCCGGGGCTGGGCCCTGTGTGCTGCGGCCGCCGCCTCCCAGAGGACAGCGAGTGGGTGTTCCTGGGTCCTGCCTGTCCCCAGCCGTGTCTGGGTGGGGCTGGAGGCTCCACCCTCTGACTCTGAGTCCAGTCCTGCTGTGGGGGCTGAGCTGGGAGGTTCAGGGACTCAGGGCTCAGCTGAGTCCCCTTGTCTGTCCTCTCCCACTTGTTGAATAAAATAATTTAAAGAGAAGTTGAGTCTTGTCCCCTCCAAGGCTGGCCGGGGTCCCACACTAAAAAAAAAAAAAAGTACATTTGAAGTTACATTTTATTTAAACAGGTAAAAATGTATATGTCCTTTTAAAATGAAAATCCAAAGTAAGTGAATCAATAATACAAACATGTTTATAACAGTAATTAAAATAGAGGTAACATTTACCACTGTGAAAATATCACAGAAGTCAAATCACACTTAGATCTTCAGTGACTGAAATGTGCATCCCACACAGCAGGGGCTGGTGGACGGAAGATAAATTCCCCCTTCGGATGGGCCATGGGCAGTCAAGTCCCCTCATCACCATCCATCAGCTCACACAGTGGGGCAGCTGGCTGCTGCGGCAATTCCACAGTGTTCCTCCGGTCTTTGGCCATCTGTATGTAGCCATCCATGCCCCAGTATATACCCCAGCTGAAAGGAGAGCAGGTTTTCCGTTTCAGAGGAAGGATAAAGCACACTGGGTTATTAACGTAAACACTGCCAGAGCCACAGGCTTAACATAAAGAATCAGGAGATGCTGATGTTCCTGTTGCTCTCTTAGAAATTCTTGAGTCTAAACCTGCATATCACTTCCATCCCAGAGCCAAAACTGTGACCTTTCACAGAAGTGTAAAATCAGAAACAGAAAAAGGATAGCATGTCTTTCCAGCTAGATATGCTTCAGAATTAAGAAAATGTTCAAAATTTGGACATGCAGTAGGACAAATGCTATATTAATATCCCCAGCATGCTCATGATAGTATCTAGATGTTATAATCAATCATTAATATTCTATGTTCTACCTAAGGGGGATAAAGACTTCTGGGATTTCAAAATGTGCTTAAGGGCTTGTGGTATCTAAATACTAATTGCAAAAAAGGATTCCTTTTTGAATTTCAACTACAGGTATTTTTCTGGCAATTTATACCTGTTCCTCACCAGCCAATATCTGTTGTTATCTGACTCTGCCCCTTCATAGCCGTAGCCAGCCACCAGCATAGCATGATCCAGGGCCACTCAACATAAATGCATGAGAGACAAAAATGAAGGCTTGGTGAGAAGCTCCCGAGGACACCTGACACTAACCCACCCTGTCACCCACAGGGAGGGAGGCATCTCTAAAATCAGTGAAATGACATGCAATCCAGATCAGCCTTAACAAGATCTATTATTATCAAGGCTAGGGATTTAGGCTCTCATCCTCAACTAGCAGAAATAGAAATTAGCATAATCTTTCATAAAACACTTTCCTACAGGCATAAAAGACCACTATTTTTGTAATTCTACCTTAGAATATCAGTCTTAAAAGCACAGAACACCAAAATCCTTGAATAAAAAGGCTCTTTTCAGATTTAATCACAGAAGTAAGAATCTTTGGAAGAATTCTATGAATATAACAATTAGATAATATTTAAGTAAATTAAACTATAAATAATATAGCTATTTATAAAGTTATGAGGTACTTATTTTCATGGAGATATGCTCAGCATCAAGTGGAAGCATCAAGTATGAATACTGCATGTATAGAGCCCATCATGCTGGTATGTCATGGTGGCTTACTTTTTCTGCAATAATTTCTATGAAGAAAGATGTTTACCTTTTCTGTAGAACTGGAAGGAGACATGGCTTGCATGAACAGCAACAGAGGTGGGCCCCACAGTTGCCACTGCCTTCGTCAGTTTCTCCTCCCTTGAAGGGATGTCCACAAAGCCAGTGTCATTAGCAGCAGAGTACTTCGGATTGTACCTACAGGTTTTAACCTGTTAAAGGTAAACAGGGAAGAGACATGATTACTGCCATCCTTCTCCCGGGGAACATGAGTCAGAACCACAACACCCAGCAGTTTGCAGCACAGAATTTCTGAGTCAACACTGTTATAAATCATCCAAGGAAGTTGAAATGTTACTATTAATAGTGAATTTGAAAATGAAAATTAGCTCCATTCGCTTCAATGAGACTCCTAGGTTTACTTTTCATAAGACATTTTTCACAATGGAGAAATGTGTTTGGTATATGTGGAATGGTTTGTATATTCTCCATGTTACACAGAAGCAAGAACAGTTATGTGTTAACCGTGTAATCACAGAACTGTGCAAAGGCTATAACTTGTAATGACAATGTTGACAGTTTGCAGATATAGATTCCCCCATCTAAAATGTGAATTCTGAAAAGCGTCTTATCTCTGAAAGTGTCCCAGTAAAACAAAGCGGGATTGGCAGCAAGAAAAGGAGCTCTCATGTGAATAGGATGCCTCAGAGTCCAGGCCTCTGCTCTGCTGAACATACTGGAAGGAATTATCCATTAAGCTATCATCACAGCCCTGATTGCCTTGAGGCCCAGAGCAGTCTACCAGATTCTGCTCACTCAGTGAGATAACACACACGCAGAGCAAGACTTTTAACAACAGCTCGTATATCTGAATACCCCTTAAAAATGTGAACTGCATGTTTCTGACAGTCTACCACAGCACAAATGTCAATCACTTCTTGGCTTTCCTGGGGTGAGGTGATGAGAGGTCTGAACCTGACACTGTCTCACCTGATTCTTCACAGGAGTCACATAGCCTTTCTCTCCAGTCCACAGACGTGGGGACCTCAAGAAGCAGAGGTTCCTGGAACACTTTCCCCTCCTTGTGCTTCTGATATTGAAAACCATTCATCACCTGCCTGAATTCTTCATTGGTCTTCAAGGAAAAGTAAATAAAATGTTAAAAAGCAAGAGATTCATTTGGTAAAGAACAGAGGAGAGAAAAGCCCAGAGTTCAGCCATCCACAGCACACTCACCATGTCCCCAAAGGCATTCATGGCCATTGTGAAGCTGTTTCCCTTGCCTGTATCCCTGGTTGTGCTGCTCCGTCACCTTCATGTTCTCCTCCCACACTGCTGTCCTCCGTTTTTCTTCATTCTAGAGGCAAACATGTAACTGATGCTCTTTATTTCTATCTAAAAGCCAACCTGTGCTTACCAAGTGAATCTTCAGACAGACATGAAAGAGAAACCATGGCAAGGGAAGGCTCGACACCCCTGGAAGCTATTCTCCAGGCTGAGACACAACAGGGGTGTATGCCCGTATCATGCTCAGAATTGTTGCCATTAGGTTATTGGTAAGAGATGGCCTCTAGAAGCTACTCTCTGGCCATATGATCCCAATAGCAAGGCCCCTTGCTCTGGGGTGCCCCTGGACAGTTTCAGGTGCCACCAATGCCATATAATCTCTTGTGCTTTGCCTTCTGTTCTATTGTGCAGCTAAAATGTGATCACGTGCTAGTGCAGCTGAGGCAATTCCCAGGCAAAAGGCAGCCAGGAGGAGTGAAGGATTCATGTTTCAAAACCTAGGAAGAGTAAAGAAATGAGGATCTGATTAGATCAATCCTGAAAAGCCATCTGACTGCTCCCTGAGGAACTAGGGCCACCACGGTAGAATAAAAATCTCTGAATGATTCTCCCAGGCATTTACCCAAGGACTGCGGAAGCGGCCAAGGATCTGGTTGGAGAAAAACAGGGCAAGTGCAGGGATTGGATGGACCCACCAAATAAAAGGCAGCCTGTCCAGAGCGGTAGGAGTTGAAACCGTTCATGCGATGATAATTTAGCTTATAAAAAGGATAGGAAGGTACCCTGTGGGCGAGAAGCTTAAGGCAACAACCAGGAAACTAGGAAGCAGTTGGCCCAGGTGCAGTACCAATCGTGCTGAGGTCATCCAGGCCAAACCTCACTGATGAAGACATCTAGTCTCAAGAAGGGACAAAGGGGTCCCCAATAATCGGGAAGTCACTTCACACCTTGTTCTTGGCTAATACACAGCAGAAGGTGAGCTGTTTTCCAAACACTCCTTGTAATGAAACAGTTCTTGAATGTCTTCCCAGGAGAAACTGGGAAGGAGAGCACCCACCTACCGCGGCTCCAGTCCTACAGGCGGGCTAGTCCTCCCAACACTCCAACCTCCCCACCCCCCACAGAGCATAAACCTGATCAGGTGGCCGGACCGCTGGAAGCCAGAGTCCCCAGTGTCCGCACCCACACAGGGGTAGGCGGCTTCCCCGGCTTTGGGCTGGGGTCCCAGGCCAGGTCCCCTGCCTCTTGCTCACGCCCTCTGCTCATGTTCACTGTGGCTCCAGGACCCGGGTGGCGTTGCAGGGAGCAAGGGGCGCCTCTGCCTGATTTGCTGGGGTCGAACCTCCCTATGCCACCCTACCAGCAACATCTGGCCTGAGGTCCATCTTACACCAGCAACATCTGCTCCAAGCTCCATCTTGCTTGGAGCTCCTTGTTGCTCAGAGGTCTATCTGATCTGAGCTCCATCTGGTTTCAAACTCCAATTCCTCCAAGCTCCATCTTGCTCTGAGCTCCGTCTTACACCAGGAAACAACTTCTGCAAGCTCTGTCTTACTTGGAGGTAATTCTTGCTCAAAGCTCTGTCTCCTCCTAGCACCATCTTGCTCAGAGCTCCAATCACTCTGATCTGTATCTTGCTTTAAGCACCATCTGCACAGATCTTAATTTTTCTCAGAGTTCTGATCATTCTGAGGTTCATCTTGCTCTGAGCACCATCCACTTGGAGCTCCAGATTGCTCTGATTACCATCTGCTTGGAAGCAATTTCTGTGAGCTCCATCTGTTCTGAGCTCTAATCACTCTAAGCTCCATCTTGCTGTGAGTACTACATGCTGAGAGCTCCGTATGCTCTGAGCTCCATCGTGCTCAGAGCTCCAATCACTCTCAGCTCCATTTTGCTCTGAGCACCATCTTCTCCAAGCTCCATCTAGCTCTTAGCTCCATCTTACACAGAGAAACAACAGCTCCAGGCTCCATCTTGCTTGGAGCTCCTTCTTGTCTGAGCCTAATCTGCTCCGAGCTCCATCCTGCTCAGTTCTCCAATCACTCTGAGCTCCATCTTCCTCTGAGCACCATCTGCTCTGAGCTCCTGTAACTTCCAGCTCCATCGAGCTCTTAGCTCCATTTTACACAGAGGAACATCAGCTCCAAGCTTCATCTTGCTTGGAGCTCCTTCTTGTCTGAGCTTAATCTGCTCAGAATTTAACCTGCTCTGAGCTCCATCTTGCTCAGAGCTCCAGTCACTCTGAGCTCCATCTTGCTCTGAGCATCATCTGCTCAGAATGAACCTATATAGATTCATTAGAATTTGGTTCAGCTGCATAAGTAAAACAAAAGGTAATAGCGGCTTTATTTTTTTTCTCACAAAAGATGTCTGAAGGGAGAGAGTCCTGGGGTGGGATGGCAGCCCCATGGTCATTGTGTCTCAGGCTTTTAGCTTTTTGCTTTGCCATCCTCAATGCTTGATTTCCATGTTATGATCTAAAGTGGCTGCTGGAACTCCAGCCATTACAACTGCATTCTGGGAAGAAGGGAGGGAGAAAGAAGGGAAGGAAGGAGAAATAAAGGGAGAAAGGAAAAAAGAATCCTTTTCTTTTTTAAACAATGGCTTCCTTAAATGATATCTTATAGTAATTTATCTCTGTCATTGTCTACAACTTACCTGGCCATACAGGAGACTGGAAAATCTACTATTAAAGTGTAGGTAGCAATGTGCCTCGAATTAGGTTCAGTTACCAAGACAGAGGGTTGGGATAGGCAGCTAGCAATTTTTCTTATACTACCACTTCATTATTATTTTTTAAGTGTCAGGGTGTGCCTGGTCCCAAAAGCTTACAAGCAAAATTAATAATTGACTTTGGAGTCAATTATTTTTTTTTTTTTTTTTTTTTTTTTTTGAGACGGAGTTCCGCTCTTGTTACCCAGGCTGGAGTGCAATGGCGCGATCTCGGCTCACCGCAACCTCCGCCTCCTGGGCTCAGGCAATTCTCCTGCCTCAGCCTCCTAAGTAGCTGGGATTACAGGCACGCGCCACCACGCCCAGCTAGTTTTTTTTTGTATTTTTAGTAGAGACGGGGTTTCACATGTTGACCAGGATGGTCTCGATCTCTCGACCTCGTGATCCACCCGCCTCGGCCTCCCAAAGTGCTGGGATTACAGGCTTGAGCCACCGCGCCCGGCCTGGAGTCAATTATTTTTGAAGTAACACTGCAATCTTGAATTCAGCAGGAAACAAGCAAGTTAAGTGTGTGAACTAACGATTCCAGCCCCCCAACCTTCCCGGTATTCCCATGAACAATATTCACTGGTTCCAAGCTACACATTTGAAACATACAAAAAACTGTTCTGAGGCCAAAGAACAGCATGTGTAGTTTGGTTTGTGCCACCAAGGGATGAGAGAGGTTGTGCATCACACTAAGTTAAATAACCAGACAGAAAGAAAAAGATTCGATGATCTCATATGTAGACTGCATAACTTAGGGGCTCAAATAGACTGAGGTAGAGAATGAAACATTGGAGGTGGGAGGGAAAATGAGGAGATGGAGCATGAACAAGTAGAGACCTGATGTGCAGGGGGACTGAAGGAAATCGTCTTAGGAATTTTTGTTGAATAAGATTTTAGCTGCTATTTTCACACACTTAAAAATCTGAGAAGAGAGATGTGCTAATCTGCTTTACCATGGTAACAATTTTAGTTTCTGTATTCCATAATATGTTGTAAACCTCAAATATACACAACAAAATTTCTTTAAAATAAAAATAAAAATCCATCACACTTCTACATCCTAACATTGAACATGTGGAAATCAAAATTAAACACATGATACTACGTACAGTCACTTGAAAGAAAATGTAATACTAAGGTATAAGTAAAAACATGGACAAGAAGGTGGGTACAAATATTAAAAATCAAAATATCTTCCTAAAATTTAGAAAATACAAAAAGGTACCTGCCATATCCATTTACAAAGGAAGAGCAGATTAGACATACATAGATGCATGTTAAAAACAGGGCTGAGTGAAACTATAAGTATTGATGATGGATACATAAATTGAAAACGAATGTCCACAAACAATAAGAAACATGTATTGACACTCATACAGAGAAAAGGATGCGCATCAATGCATTACAGTGTAGACGCGGAATAAAACTGGGCCATGGAAATAAAGGAGAGTGAATGAGTAAATAAACAGGACCGGTCCTTGAGCAATTAACCCAAGGAATATACCTCAGCCCTCTACACTTGATGCCAAAACCACTCTACTGTATTCCCTCCAATAAAAATAGTCTTTTTTTCCAGGGGAAGGATTCTTAATCATTGACATTCTATGGAAATGCTGGTGTATGGAGGTGGTAATAAAAATAGTGACTTTTACCTGTATGATTGTGTTCAAATTCTCTGTAGACTACGCTTTCGTCTATTGCCTGCAGTAGACAATGGCCACGCCCAGTGTCCCACATTGGGTAGGCTACTGCACCACCGAGAGTTTCTTTTTTTTTTTTTAAGACGGAGTTTCGCTCTTGTCACCCAGGCTGGAGTGCAATGGTGCAATCTTGGCTCACCGCAACCTCCGCCTCCTGGGTTCAAGCAATTCTCCTGCCTCAGCCTCCCGTAGAGTTCCTTAACAAGAAAATGTGCTAGTATTGGTACCGTGGCCTCCAAACACCATCATTTTAGTGTGCATGGCGTGCTGTCTTACTTTAGGTAGGGTGGAGGATTTTGGTCCTTTTGAGAGGCTTCAGTTGCTCACAGCATTGGGTGAGTTACAACTCATACCACCATGATGTATGTGGCCTGGAGGTGGTGATTTTGATGTCGTCCTTTGGGAAAGAGTGTCACTGTCACCTATATACAACACAGAACATTTTATATGCCCTTCGACACGTTTACATGCTCCAAGAAACACCAAGTCCTTTTCTTCCTCTCCTGTGAGATAAGATTTTAAGAAGAAAATGTGTCTGCAGGAACCAGTCATCCCCTTGTGCTTACTTGCAATGTCTGGCTAACTTTCAACCTGTGGGTCTGTCCACCAACCCTGCAAAACCTCATACCGCTCCCTTCCCGAATGCCTGCCTCTCCCCCTCTCTTCCTCCCCACCATCAGAAAACAGGCAGAGAGATACACAGTCATCAGCTGCTCAGACTTGAATTTATTTTAGTCATCATCAGTGGTGATGATTTTTCTCTTTTTCTTTTTTTTCTTTTTCTTTTTAGACTGGTCACGTGAGAAGGGGGAAAGAGTAGAACAAGGAGTTCCATCTGTAACTGACTGTGAACAATCAATCGAGATCCTTTCTCCATGTTTGACGAATCCTTTTCACTGTCATCTGATGTCGAAGGAATGTTTTTATTGGACTTCCAACCCTCTTCAGATCTTTCGGACTCTGTGTCTTCGCCCTCCTCTGAGTATTCTTCACATGATTTTAAGTCATCCTCCTGTGAGGTTTCTTTATCTGAGTCTTGGTTTTCATTCATCTCCTCTTGGATTGGATCCGTGGAGTTCTCTCCATGGATGTCCAGGTCTTTGTCCTTCTCTGAAGCTGGTTCCAATATGGTTGGATTTTGATTCTTCTCTTGGACTGGATCCATGGAGTTCTTGTCATTCTTCTTTTGATTTGAATTTATTTTCTTATCCTTCCCGTAGTAAAACACTGATGTTGTTGGGTGTTCTGATTTTTTTTTGCTTTTTTAAAGTTTGTTCTGATTTTTTTGTTCTTTTTGAGTTTGGTTCAGAGTCTAAGACTCTGTTCGGTGTCTCCTGTGTCTGGTAAGAAAACAGGGAGAGGCCAGAAAGACATTATTTAGGGTGAATAGGATAGAGACTGGAGAGCCAGGGGTGTTTTATGAGAAGGAATGCAGGTTGAGAAAGGGATTTGTGCCAGAGAAGAACAAGGTGGAATCATAGGGTAGGGATCTACGGGGAGGAAGAGGAGGAGCATGGCGAGGGCCATCTGTGTTAGTGCAAACTGCACCATTCTGTAAGCTCTTTGTTATTTTGCAGGCCTTGGTCAAAGTGAAACATTCCATGGGGGTTCAGGCTGTGAGAAACATCCTGCCTAACCACCTCACCACAAGGCGGTCAAAGGCTCAACTAAAAAAACACTTCTATCGCATCTTGCTTGGCAACGTTCTGTGGAATATCACCACCAGAAAAAGGGCCAAACCACCTGATCATAAGCACATCTCATAAATAACCTGCCGGTCAGCAAACCATACTGCCCAGATCCCTCCCATCCATACCTGTAAGTACCCCAGCCTATAAGCAGTGGTAGGCTCTGGCGTTAAAATAAAAGGGGTAGAATTGTAGGAACCACATTACATGGAGGCCTGGAATTTATTTAGTATGTCCCACTCCAAGATAGGGGTAGGGCACTGAGGGATAACCAGGAAAGAGTGGGTGAAGCGGGGTGTTCAGTAGTTTGTATAATGAAAGACCAGTCTGTGCCTAGAGGGGATTCCACTGAATCTCACTATAGACGTAGAAGAACTGAAAAGTGGTCTAAAATATTCTGGTAAAACTGAGTAACTAGTTTTCTTATTGAGTGCCGCCCCCATCTGTGAGTCTATCTTTTACTCTCACCTTCGCTTTAAAACCTAACAATCTTACTTTGTCATTTTCGTTGACTTTTATGTCACAGGGGCTCTTCCTCTTTCCACCACTGGTACTAGCCTTCAGATGTTCCATGATGTTACAGAATGTCTATACTATGCTTTTTAAGAGGGTAGGCTTACACAGCTGTATAGAAACTTCCTAGTGGGGTGTCCCAGAGCTCCTGCTCGCCCTATATATACCCTCCTGGTGACAAGGCAAAGCCACACTCTTCAGCTTTGTTTGATGATACAGTGTGGCAGTCCTAGGATGGCTTTGACATCACAAAGTACCACCCTGACAACTCCCTGGGCTTGGGGGCAAAGGATGAAAGGGATGTAGAGAAAACCAAATGCTGTTTTTGGATCAACATGCCCACCAGAAATTGGGATTACACATCAGACAGACCTTTCTTCAAATCTCACCATGGCAGCCTATTGACCAAACCGTGGAGCTAGGAATTTATTTTAATCCATTGAGCAGTCTAAATTAGTAATACTAAATCAAAACCATAATTATATCCCTAGTCCAAAATTGTATGTCTAATCTAGAACTTCAAAAGAAAACTGAACCAGTTCAACACACTCCTGTGTAACTTCTTTTTACAAGTGCTCTTCACAGTTACCAATAAGCAATTCACTTTTAATTGTACAATCATTTTCTGAACCAAGATGTAAAGTCATCTGTGAGGCAAAAGGAAGATCCCTCCCACCATCTAAGGTAACATGAACTGCACATAAATTAGGAAAGCATCCCTAGGGCTGGCACCACAAAAAGCCGTAGCCAGCAGAAGCAGCGTTTTTTGAAAACCTTTCCGGCTCCCCACCCACCCTGCCGAGAACTGCAGCACTTACTTTTCATCCGCAAACTTCTCAGCTGTGAAGTCCCCCTGCCTCTCGGTCTCATAGGGTCGGTATTCCCTGTAGGGTCTCCGCTCGGCTCTTTCAAGCGTCCCCTCGGGCCCACGGCTGTCATTCCATCCTGGCTGCTCCCCTCTTCTAGGGGTCCGCTTCTGGCCTACCCGAAAATCAAAGCAGAGAGCTGGAACACAACGTCTGCGAGAGTATTAAACTTTACAGGTACTTGCAAATTTTAAGTTGTTGATACTACGACTGCCCACAGTCTACTACTTTTTAATAGAACATTACTATTAAATCATGCTTTCCCTACAGCCTAGAAAGTATATGACAAACTAAGCCCACCTATAATTACAGGCGCCTCCCAAAAGCTGTGACAGTCGGTGTATTTTACTAAATACACTACAGTTCACAAAAGCAGCTTGACAAAAACACCGTATGGAACCCCTATCTAGAAAATGAAAGAATACCCTGTATTTCAGACTGTACTTTTAGAATCCCAACTGCACATAAAACCACGGCAACCATGGCTAATCACTGGCATACTACTAAGGTTTTTGTTTCTATTTATTTATTTATACTTGAGACAGAGTCTCACTCTGTCACACAGGCTGGACTGCAGTGCACTGTGCAATCTCGTCTCACTGCAACCTCTGCCTCCCAGGCTCAAGCAGTTCTGTGCCTCAGCCTCCCGAGAAGCTGGGATCACAGGCATGCACCACCACACCCAGCTCATTTTTGCTATTTTTAGTAGAGACAGGGTTTCACCATGCTGGCCAGGCTGGTCTCAAACTCCCAGCTTCCAGCAATTCACCCACCTCAGCCTCCTGAAATTACATGGATGCTTTAAACATCTCACCTCAGCCTCCTGAATTACTGGGATTACATGGATGAGCCACCGTGCCTGGCCAAGGTTTTTGTTTTTAAGAGTTTGTAGTTTTTATTTTTTATTTTTTTGAGACGGAGTTTCGCTCTTGTCACCCAGGCTGGAGTGCAATGGCGCGATCTTGGCTCACCGCAACCTCCGCCTCCTGGGTTCAGGCAATTCTCCTGCCTCAGCCTCCTGAGTAGCTGGGATTACAGGCACGTGCCACCATGCCCAGCTAATTTTTTGTAGTTTTTATATTTTTGTTTTGAAAACAGGTTTTCCTGCTATTCTATGAGATATATAGACTTGCAATTATAACTTCTTGAATATGGACCAAAACCTCCCAACTTGCCCGGGAGTCAGCCGGTACTTGAGGACATCTCTTTTGTCCCGAGAGTCTGGCACTTAGACGCCACACTGGGACCAGAGACTCTGGTCTTTTCCTCTCACCTTGCTTTACTCCCCTCTGGTTTTAACGCTTTAAACATCTTAAGCAAAGTCTAAGTTTGAAGCCGTCTGATACTTGATAAATACATTGTGGAGAACTTTGTCACGTCTTTAATCTTCAAAAGTCTCTCTTTTTTTTGTATAAATTTAAAAGATCTCACTATGTGCAATTTTTACAATAGTGGCTTCAGTTTTTCTCAGTACAAATTACTCTTCACATTAGTTGCATAACTATAAAATATTACATTTATTCAAGTTAATGGGTTTTTTTTTTTTGAGACACAGTCTTGCTGTCATCCAGGCTGGAGTGCAGTGGTGTGATCTTGGCTCACTGCAGCCTCTGCCTCCCGGGTTCCAGCGATGTTCCTGCCTCAGTCTCCTGGGATTACAAGAGCATGCCACCATGCCTGGCTAATTTTTTTGTATGTTTAGTAGAGACAGGGTTTCACCATGTTGGCCAGGCTGGTCTCCAACTCCTGACCTCAGATGATCTGCCTACCTTGGCCTCCCAAAGTGCTGGGATTCTGGCATAAGCCACCATGGCTGGCCATGGATATATTTTTTAACTATTAGACTTCTCTCCCACTTAGAAAATACCTTAAGGAATATAATAAATACTTTTCTATTTTCCTTTTTTTTTTTTTTTTTTGAGATGGAGTCTCGCTCTATCAACGGGCTGAGTGCAGTGGCGCGATCTGGCTCGCTGCAACTTCCATTTTCCAGTTTCAAGCAATTCTCCTGCTTCAGCCTCCCGAGTAACTGGGACTACAGGCACGTACCACGACACCTGGTTAATTTTTAAAAATATTTTTAGTAGAGACAGGGTTTCATCATGTTTGTCAGGATGGTCTCTATCTCTTGACCTCGTGATCCACCTGCCTCAGCCTCCCAAAGTGCTGGGATTAGAGGCGTGAGCCACTGCACCCAGCCTTTATTTTCCCATTTAATATTTTCTACCAAAACTTTATCATCTGGGTACAGATAAATCTTAATTGGTCTAATTTTTTTGGGGGTGGGGGGAGACAGAGTCTCGCTCTGTCACCAGGTGCCAGGCTGGAGTACAGTGGTGCAATCCTGGCTCACTGCAACCTCCACCTCCCGGGTTCAAGCAATTCTCCTGCCTCAGCCTCCCAAATAGCTGGAACTACAGGCATGCTACCACACCCAGCTAACTTTTGCATTTTTTAGTAGAGATGGGGTTTCACCATGTTGGCCAGGACGGTCTCGATCTCTTGACCTTGTGATCCACCCGCCTCGGCCTCCCAAAGTGCTGGGATTACAGGCGTGAGCTACCGTGCCCAGCCAATTGGTCTCATTTTAAAGCAAAAATCATGTTTATGACATCACTAACATAAACTGTATAATTTATTCCTTGTCAACAAAGTATTTTTTTCAAGAGTGAAAAGTTGCACAACAGATCTAAATTCAACCTACTATAATTTTAATATCCCATAACCTAGAAATATTTAAATTCAATTTGTATCCTGTAGTGAGGTCACTATCCGAGCTTGTGATATGTTTCAGATATAGACAAGATGTTATCATAAATAGAGCATAACGCTTTATTTATTTATCTTTTTTGAGACAGAGTATCACTCTGTCGCCCAGGCTGGAGTACAGTGGCATGATCTTGGCTCACTGTAACCTCTGCCTCCCAGGTTCGAGCAATTCTCCATGCCTCACCTCCTGAGTAGCTGGGACTACAGGCACGTGCCACCATGCCCAGCTAAGTTTTGTATTTTTAGTAGAGATGGGGTTTTACCATATTGGCCAGGCTGGTCTCGAACTCCTCACCTCAAGTGACCCACCTGCCTTGGCCTCCCAAAGTACTGGGATTACAGGCACGAGCCACCACACCCAGCTTTACTTTTTTTTTGAGACAGAGTCTCACTCTATTATCCAGGCTGGAGTGCAGTGGCACGATCTTGGCTCACTGCAACCTCCACCTCCCAGGTTCGAGTGATTCTACCGCCTCAGCCTCCTGAGTAGCTGGGACTACAGGTGCCTGCAACCACGTTCGGCTACGTTTTTTGCATTTTTAGTAGAGACGGGGATTCACCATGTTGGCCAGCTGGTCCTGAACTCCTAACCTCAGGTGATCCACCCCTCTTGGCCTCCCAAAGTACTGAAGCATGAGCTACCACACTCAGATGCCTTTTTTTTTTTTTTTTTTTTTTTTTTTGAGACATTCTCACTCTGTCATCCAGACTGCCGGGCTGGAGTGTAGTGGTACAATCTCAGCTCACTGCAACCTCTGACACCTGGTTTCAAGCAATTCTCAAGCCTCCTAGGTAGCTGGGATTACAGGCCTGTGCCACCATGCTTGGCTAATTTTTCTGTATCTTTACTAGAGACGGGGTTTGGCCATGTTGGCCAGGCTGGTCTTGAATGACCTCAGGTGATCCACCTGCCTCAACCTCCCAGAGTGTTAGGATTACACATGTGAGCCACTGCACTCAGCAGAGCATTATGCTTTTATTGCAGACATATCAAGATAATCACACTTTTTTTTTTTTTTTGACATGGTCTGTCACCCAGGCTGGAGTGCAGTGGTATGATAATAGCTCACTGCAGCCTTGACCCCTGGGACTCAAGTGATGCTCCCACCTCAGCCTCTTGAGTAGCTCAGACTCAGACCACAGGCATGCACCATCACACCCAGCTAATTTTTTTTTTTTTTTGGGTAGAGATAGGTCTCCTTTTGTTGCCCAGGCTAGTCTTGAACCCCTGAGCTCAAGTGATCCTCCCACCTAGCCTCCCAATGCTGGATAACGGGCATGAGCCACCACACAGCCCCCACTGTCACTGATACTTGTCCCCAGTTGCCCAGGAGTGGGCAACATCAGGTCTGGGCGCACATGCGTTAAGCGTTCAGAATTGGAAAAGGCGTTCAAAACGTAAGGTAGAAAAAGCCACTACGAAAGTCAATTATCTAACAAGTTCAAAATTATACTAGGTCATGACATAACACTCATCAGAAAATTTGTCAACGATAACAATACTCTTCCATATTTTTACCTCAGTGTAAAAAGAGTTATTTTAACACAGTTTCAGATTTCCTATTTCCAACCGACAGTTTTAAAAACATCTTTTAGTATCTCCACTCAACTACACAATTACGTAGGTGCTTATCCCACCTTTCTGCTTCCTCCAATTTTGTTGTTGTTGTTTTGGGTTTTTTGCTTTTTGGTTTTTTGAGATGGAGTGTCACTCTGTCACCCAGCCTAGAGTGCAGTGGTACAATCTCAGCTCACTAAAACCTCTGCCTTCTGGGTTCAAGCTATTCTCTTGTCTCAGGCTCCCCAGTAGCTGGGATTACAGACACGTGCCACCACGCCTGGCTAATTTTTGTATTTTTAATAGAGACGGGGTTTCACCATGTTGGTCAGGCTGATCTCAAACTCCTGACCTCGTGATCCACCTGACTCGGCCTCCAAAGTGCTGGGATTACAGGAGTGAGCCACTGCACCCGGCCCCTCCAAGTTATTTTTTAATTGTGTCAATTAAATTTGTAATTCATCAACCTTAAAATAGGACATCTACTGTACACCATATAAAAGCCTTTTCCAACAGTATAAACTGAAAACTGTTAAATACAACTGGCAACTTATTAGAATAATTATCAATATCAAGTAAACATTTCATTTTCCCTCCCAACCCCCCCAAAACAAACATAATTAGAATAATTATCAGTTTCAGGCAAACATCTCATTCTCCCTCCCAAACCTCCCACAACAAAGATAATCAGCATCCAGTTTTTTCCTCACAATTTAGCACTAAGAGATCAACACTGCCACGAACTGGGCTTGTTTTTCTGTGCTGGATCAGCAGCTCCAAGTGGAGCATGCAAGCACCGCATTTCACGAACCTTCCCAACGCAAGGCTGGCACATGCATTCGTCACCAGCTAAACCAAGCCCATGTAAAGAAATAGAATACAATAAAAATTACAGTGAGATTTCCCACAAAATAAAGTTGAGCTTTGGTTCAACAAACATAATACTAAAAGGCTAGGAAAACCAAAACTGAAATGAACTCTCATGACTTCAAGAGTGAACTCACTGAGCAAGGCTCACTCAAGGGTTTATGTAGATTGCTAGACAGATAGTCAGACATTTAAAACCTATATTTTTGGCCAGGCGTGGTGGCTCATGCCTGTAATCCCAGCAGTTTGGGAGGCCAAGGCAGGCAGATCACGAAGTCGAGAGATAGAGACCATCCTGGCCAACATGGTGAAACTCTGTCTCTAGTAAAACAAATATAAAAATTAGCTGGGCTTGGTGGCATGCACCTGTAGTCCCAGCTACTGGGGAGGCTGAGGCAGGAGAATCGCTTGAACACAGGAGGTAGAGGTTACAGTGAGCCGAGAGGGTGCTACTGCACTCCTGGTGACAGAAAATCAAGACTCCATCTCAAAAAAAGAAAAAGAAAAAGAAAATTAGCTGGGTGTGGTGGCAGATGCCTGTAATGCCAGCTACTCAGGAGGCTAAGTTAGAATTGCCTAAACCCAGGAGGTGGAGGCTGCAGTGAGCCATGATCATTGCATTGCAGACTGTCTCAAAAACAAACAAAAACCCTACATTTCCATACGAAAAGCTTGTGACTTCCACATTCTTTCAGGATTAGTATTTCTATGACATCAAATATATTTTAATTTTTGTCTACACTAAACATTCACTTACAATATTGTAACAAAATTAAAAATTTGGTACAGTGTTTCATATCAACGAGGGCTACAAAACCTTGAGGGATTAGCTCTGACACCCATCATAAATTTAGTACAGCAACTACATAAATGGAAATTAATGAGCTGTTTGCACCTGTAAAAAAACACATATTTGGAAAAAGAACTTCAATGATAAAATTTCCATTCTAACTACAAAATCAACTAAATATCTTTAGTTGATTTCAAAAGCCAGATCACTTAGACGGAACAACTGACAGAAAAAAAGTTATGAGTGGACGACATGACAACATCAAGTGCAGGAAACAGGCTGCAACCCAGTTTGTATCATTTAAGTTTAGAAAGAAAAGAAATAGCCCTGTGCATTTACGTATATAAATGCAAAGTGTTAACAGCAGGAAAAATAAGAGGATTTTCACTTAACCTCATGCATTTTGGAACTGCTTAAAATTTTTATCACAAAAATGCATCACAATTTAAAAAAGGCTAAAAATCAATGTATTAACAGTACTACCTCGTCTCACGTTTTTCAGAATAGAAGATGTATTTTCATTTGTTAAAAAATAAATGGAGAAGAAAAGCTTCGCCTTCCTCCATTCTTTTATTCATGTAAATACGTTTAAGAGAAAAACATAAAAAAAAAAAAACAGGATATAAAATGCACAATGTATCTCCAGTCTCACGGTTTAGAGAGGCTCAAAAATTTACTGGCCTACCAAAGAGTCGTGAGATAGTCAATACCATTTTTTAAATCATTTTCAACATCTTTATTGTAGTGACTTGATTCTCGAGTGATGACCCTGGATTTAACTTTTCTCAAATAAAGGTAAACATGACCCAGCCGCACATCAAAGCCCGAATGCTTCAACCTGAGACCTTTCCACAGGGCTGCGATGCACAGTCGTTATCCAACAAGGAACCAACCAGTAAAACCAAGTTGAACACGCTGCCAAACGTTGGCAGCAGTGGTCAAACTACACATCTTAATGTCACACTCTGCAAACCTTGGGACCGCTGTCTCACTTAAAGAAAACAGAGGAAACCCAGGAGGAGCGCGGCCGGCTCTGCCACTGACGCAGTTCAGGTGGGAACGAACTCTCGGGCACCCTCCCCGACCGCGGGCAGCGGGACGCCAGGCTGCGCACCGCTTCTGCTTGCTCAACAGCGAGTGGGGAACTCCGAATATTCTTCACGGAAAGGTGAAAAACGCTTTTCTTAAAGCGGCCTTAAGTGATTTCTAAGTTCCACATCCCACCGACGCCGCACGCAGTACTGAAATGCGGTGCCCGCTGCCTGCTGGACGCTCCCGGGCCGGGAAGGGGCGAAGGCGCCAGGTCGGACCGCGCCAGGGACCCCCGCCCGCCGCGCCCGGGCCGGACGTCACAGGCCGCCCCGCGGTCGCCCAGGCCTCCCGCATCACAGAGACCCCCAGCCCCGGGGCCGGGCGCCCTCCTCCTCCCCACCGCGCCCTCGGGCGGCTCCGACCTCAATCCCGCAGAGGCCGGGCCGGAGGGTGCAGAAGGTCCCCCGGCAGCCCGCACGTGGGCGCCCCGGGGTAGCGACCTCCGCGTTCGCCCCCACGCGCCACCCCAGCGACCCCCCTCGACTTCGTCCAACTTGCCGTGAAGGCTCAGTGCCAGGGCTGGGGGCTCCACCCCACGCCAAGCCTGCGCTTTCCCCGGAGCCCCGCACCCGGCGGGCGAGGGCTGGAACGCTGCGACCCCCGCCCCTCTCCTCCCACCTTCGGCGGCCACCGGGACCCTCAGCTCTCCCGGCTCCTCCCCGGCCCCGCCTCCGGGACCCCGCCCCGGGACCCCGGCCTCACAGCGGGGCGCGCCGTGGCCGCTCCCCCGGTCCCCCCGCGTACCCGGCGACCGCAGGCCACCCCCGGGGCTGTCGGGCCCCTGCGCGCCGGGCGCCGGGAGGGTCTTGCGCTCCTTCTGCGACTCCCTCCGGCCCGCGCCGGCTCGGTGGCCCGAGGGCCCGGCCGGGCTCCTGCCTCCGCGGGGACCAGCCCCGGCCGCCACGCAGCCGAAACTCTCCTGCATCACGGCGCCGGCGGCGGCCACGGGGCTCCCGAGAGCGCCCTTCATGCCGCCGCGACCACAGCGGCCCGGGCGGGCAGCCCACGCGAGCGCGTCTCAGCGAAGCCCGCGGCGAGGACCCATGCTGCCCGCCCCGCCGCCGCCGCCGCCGCCCTCCCGGCCCTACTCACCTGGCAAGTGACAGTTAAGCCCGCACGTGCGCCGCCGCCGCCCGCCCCTCCTCACCCAACAGCCAATCAGCGTGCGGGGAGACGCCCCCTTTCCGAGCCGGCTCCCCCGGAGGCCCAATCACCGACCGGCTGCCGTTACGTCACGCGACCTCTGAGCCCCGCCCCCTCCGCGCAGCAGCGAGGGGCGGGGCCGGGGGCGGAGCTACTGGCCGGAGACCCCGCGGCTGTCCCGGCGGCGCGGGCGGGTGGTCGGGGCTCGGCCGCGTGTGCGTTCGCCCCGAACCGCGTCCGTGTCTTGTCACCCGCCGCTCTGCTTCGAGCTTCTGTATACATTTCGCCGCTCACCAGCTGCATATTGCGCACTTACCGCGTGCCAGGCGTTACGCTGTGGGAAATAGTAGCTCCGTGTTTGCGCAGGTCTGAGTCTGTAGACGGAGAGCAAGTGCCCTGAAGGACAGGCGCGGAGCTCCACGGGCCTGCAGCAGCGGGACCTGACCTGGCTGGCGGGTGACAGTTGAGCCGAGAGAGAGGGGTGACAAGGGGCCGGAGGAGGAACGGCAGGGGCCGCAGGCTCCAGGTGGGCTGTGCACAGCCTGTTCCAGCTACAAGTCGTCCCTGTTCCAGGAGCAGCGGGAAGCACATTTCCAACATGAGCAGCTTTGCGTTTGAAAAGGCCACCCGACCTGCACTGTGAACTAATAGTTTGGAGGGAAATACACGTGGATGCAGGGAAGCCAAACATGGTTGTTGCAAAGCTCCAGGGAACTGCTGATAGTGACTTGGATTAGGATGGTGGCGGTGGAGGTGAAGAGTGGACGGATTCAGAGACTTGGTGATGAGCTAGATGGAGGGATGAGGAAGAAGGAGGTATGGTGGCTCTTATTTTCCTGGCTCCAGCATCTGGTGGTAGAATTAGTCACCACTGGAAGAGACTGCTTTCATGAGAACCATGAATTCAGGCTTGGACACGTTGGGGTCCAAGCAGCCAAAGATATTTGGTTTCTTTTGAGATACTCAGTCGAGGCCTGGAGTTTAGAGAACGCTGGACTGGACTTCCTCCAGGAAATCTGGCATGGGCACCGATGCAGACACGCTTGGCTGCCTTTCCTTCAGCCGTTCTTTTTCCCTCTTACATTTTTCCAGCGCCGCTATCTTGTTCAGGCCTCATATTCCCCAGGGGAAGCGGCCCCTTCCAGCCTCAAACTTGATTAATCATAAATTATCCATAGCACCTGATTTCCAATTCCTTCTCAGTAACTGGTTTAGGAATAGGCTGTGGGGCAATTTGGGCAGAACAGATCTGAGAAGTATTCTGGGAAAGTTTCTCTGGCACCTAAGAAGGGGTTGAGAAGGAATCTTGCTGTTGTGGTTTGGTGATGACCAGTGCAAAGATGCCAAAGAGAACTCTGGCCTCAAGCAGTGCTTCTCAAAGTGTGGTTGGTTCCTAGTGCATGCAGGGATCCTGGTTCATTGAGAGAAAGTATGCAATTTACTATTTTTACACTTTTAAAGTGTACAATTCAATGACATTTACTAAATTCACAATTTTGTGCAACCCTCTCCACTATCTCATTCCAGAACATTTCATTGGCCCACAGGAAACTCCACGCCCATCAGGCAGTTACTTTCCGACGCTCCCAACCCCCACTTCTGTTTCTGGGTCCCTGTTCCATGAGAGAACATGATGCCTGGGGTGGCTGTTCCTTCGTGTGGCCAGGAGGATTGCAGAGCAGAAGGATGGAGAAAGCCTAGATCCTAGATCCAGCTGCCCACTGGACCCACTTGGGAACCTCCTACTTGAGGCTTGTGATGTAAGGTGACAGATGTGACTGCGCTTGGTTGTGTTTGCTGGTTTCGTCTGAAAGCATCCAGTTAGAGCATCCTGCCCAGGTGCTCTGTGGCCAGCTTTTACTTTCCTTTAATAGCATATGGAAAAGGAATTCCTAATCCTAAATGCTGTCAAGTCTGTATTTTACTCACTTATTGAATTTTGTGTTATTCCCAAGGAGGACAGGGATGACGCCTGTCTTATTCATTGCAATTTGTATTCCCAGGGCTTGGCGTTCTGGGCAGCTATAGAGTAGCTTTTCAGTAAATATTTGTTGAATGGTTGAAGAATTTAGGATATTTGGTCACCTCCTTTTGAGTGAGCAGAGATTAATGCCTATGCTTTCTACCCAAAAGAATTAAAAGCAAGTGTTCAAACAAAAACTTATACATGAGTATTCATAGCAGCACTATTCACAATAGCCAAAAGGCAGAAACAACTGAAATACATGCCACCTGGTGAATGGATTAAAAAAATGTGGTACAACAAAGTATTTGGTCATAAAAAGGAAGTACTGATATTTGTTACAATATGGATGACACTTGAAAACACTGTGGTAAGTGAAAGACAAAAAGGGCCACATGTTGTATGATTCCGTTATGTGAAATGTCCAGAATCTATAGAGACAGAAAGCAGATTGGTGGTTCTAAGGCATGGGGGTTGGGAGTGCTGGAAAATAACTGCTTAATGGGCATGGAGTTTCCTGTGGGCCAATGAAATGTTCTGGAATGAGATAGTGGTGATGGTTGTACAAAATTGTGAATTTAGTAGATGTCACTAAATTGTAGACTTTAACATTGTAAAAATAGTAAATTGCATGTGTATTTTCTCTCAATGAACCAGAATCTCTGCATGCACTAGAAACCAACCACACTTTGAGAAGCACTGCTTCAGGCCAGAGTTCTCTTTGGCATCTTTGAACTGGTCATCACCAAACCACAACAGCAAGAAATCACAACCACGTGAGTGAAGGGCCTGTCTTCCCACTGGGCATCTGGAATTAGCCTGTTCCCCTGTTTTCTTCCTATCTTCCTTCCAGCGTAACCAGCCACTGTAAGTTCTTAAAGCATGCCCTGTGAGCACTGGTGCCTCACTTCCAAGTCACAAATACCCAAAATGGTTCTAAGAGAACCAACTCTGGTTGCTTCAGGATTCAGAACACCTTTAGAAACACTGAATAGAGATGAGCGATCTCTGTCTGATATTAGCTGGCTGTAAGTTTCTTTCTTCCTTTTTTATTTTATTTATTTATTTTTATTTATTTTTGTATTTTTAGTGGAGACGGGATTTTACCATGTTGGTCAGGCTGGTCTCAAACTCCTGACTTCAAGTGATCTGCCCACCTCCCAAAGTGCTGAGGTTACAAGTGTGAGCCACTGCTCGGTCCATAGCCATGAGTTTCTTATGGGGCTACTGATTACTGCTGCACAATTTACTGACAGTAGCATTAAGCAGCCTCATATTTTTTACTGACTGTTTTTTCTGCTTGGAGATTGCATCCTTAAATGCATTCCTAAAATACAGCCCTACCATATTAGCATAAGTTATTCACAACGTTGTGTTTAATGTGGTCAGTTTAACAGACGGATCCTTCTCATAATCTGAGATATAAAAACAGCCTTTAGTCGTCGTAACACCAAACAAAAATACACATTTGTATAGCATAGAAAAACAAAGTACATCAAAAAAGCAGTGAAGTGAGGATGCTCAATAATACCACCAGCCCTTCCATGCTCATTACGTATATTTCAGGAGTTATTTATTACCACCAAAGGAAATGCAGTGAAGCTCAACTGTATATAAGATGTAAATTACCTTGAATTACTTAATAGGGGAGTCTCATTAGGAATAACAAAATACACTAACATCTTCCAGATTGACTTGGAATTCACAGAACAATTAATTGAGACTTTAGACACATGTAGCTTCATTTCTTTCAATTACATTCAGGGAGCAACACCTGGGTGGGAGCCAAGGCGGAGAGGCCAGGTCAGGCTGGCAAGGATGTGAGTTCTTGTTAATTACCAAAGACTGCGTTCAGTCTGCTCTGTTTTGCCACTAGAGTCCTGCTCGCTCTCTCCTCACCTTTTTCTTGTCTCTAAAGTTAGGATGATTATAACCTGTCTTACGCTCCTCATATAGTTAAATGGAAGGCAAGACCAAAGAAGGCAATGGAAAAGGTAAAAATAAATCTCGCTCTCTTTAATTGTTTCTACTTGCATAATATATGCGAGAACACAAGTATTTTTCCTATCTCTAAAAGGATCGATCTTTCATGCCAGCTTAGTCAATTATGACAGGATCAGTGAAGTTACATAATAGTTCCCGGTTTCACTACTCCAAGGGTGATAAGTGAATTCGAAATCAGTTTCCCACAACAAATGAAGGAAGCAAGTATATAGGCTCAAAGTCGGGAGTTGTAGAACCATAAACCGGTAGGTAACAAATCAGGATGCACCAGGAGAACTTCTAGCAAGTGGAAATCCATTCATGACGATCAGATACACCATGTTTAAAACAGGATATGATTTCCCCAACCTGCTAATAATATTTGTAGCCTTGGTGTTGTTGAAGGTCTTTCCAGCTTGTTTTCTTATGCCAAAATGTTACTGGATAGCTTAGTGCAGGCGTCCCCAAACTACAGCCCCGCAGACTGCATGCGGCCCCCTGAGGCCATTTATCTGGCCCCCCGCCGCACTTCAGGAAGGGGCACCTCTTTCATTGGTGATCAGTGAGAGGAGCACAGTATGGGGCAGCCCTCCAACAGTCTGAGGGACAGTGAACTGGCCCCCTGTGTAAAAAGTTTGGGGACGCCTGGCTTAGTGCTTTGTATCCTCAAAGCAATTGTGCCAATAGAAGTTTTTTATTCTCTCAAGTTCGTACAATTAAAAGTTTGATCTCTAGTTGCAACTTTCATCAAGGCCAAATAAATAATTGGGGATTTAGAACTTTTTATTTCCTAGATTCTTCAAGTTGTGAGCAACAGAAAACCCATCTGGGATAAGTAAAACCAAGGACTTTGTTGGCTCAATTTAAAAAAAGTCCACCAGTCGCGGTAGCTCACTCCAGAAGTTCCAGACCACCCTGGAACCTCTGAGTTACAGTGATTTGCCCACCTCAGCTTCCCAAAACATTGAGATTACAACCATGA